ACGCAGTTTTCTAACGAAATAAAAGCAACAGATTGGACGCCTTTGGGCAAAGAGACGACCAAGAATGGTTGTTCATACGGGGTCATATGCTCACTTGCCAGGTCAATCTGATCGCTAAAAAGCTTTCCACGTTGCCCTTGATGTCTTTGCGTTTTCTCGTAGGGCTCAACGCTTCTGTTGGAATGCTATCTGCTTCCATGCCTGGGCACTCTTGATCGATCAGGTTTTCTTCCACGAATTCTTCCAATTCGCCCGAAAGGCTCTATGTGATTTTTCCAGGGGCCCCATACACCATGGTACACTCAGTTACTCAGGGACCCGTCATATTAAGTCTCGAGTTCTTTCCACTGTCTCGGAGGGCCTTGTGCTGTTGCTGAAGCTTATATAAGATAAGGTACCGAGTCACATGCGGCTCAGGGGCGCTCTACTTTGATCTAGGGATCTTTCCCGTTGATCTCATTGGCGGAGGACCCTTCACTCCTATCGGGCCCCTTCTGTTAATCTGCCCGGACTCTCTTGATCGCACAGGGTCATTAATTCATTACACTGGTTTTGGGAGTTTTTCCTTTGCTCAGAGAGCCCTGTGCTCTGGCCGGGGTCCTATATGTCAGCCTGCCGGGGCACTTCCGATTGTTTAGGGGCCTACCACGTTGGTCTTGGACCCTCCTCACCTGCCCTGAGGATCCTTTGCTTGTTTACGGGAGGCTCTTTGTTGGCCTCCCGCGGGACCCAGGATCACGCTAGTTTTGTCCTTTTTGACTGGCCTCGTTGCGTTAGCCTTAGGGTAGCAGTCGGATATGAGCCGATGAGTTTTTACGCGCAATTGTCGAACGTGATTTTGCGTGCCGCTGACATCAAACGCGTCATTTGCCTGGCTTTAAGGTGTGACACTTACTATGCTTGTGTATCACGTTCTCAATGCATTTTCAACGCTACGAAATTTTGCACTCCTTTGATAACAAAGGAAAAACCCTGCATTAATCACCAGCCGTCAGCTGATCACAACGACCAGCCGGCTTGCCGTAAATAAGAGAGGAATCAAGTTCGTGCTTGATTTCGATGGTATTTGCTAATTTTGGTTTCAATTCCTCGTCTTTTTCAAAATAGTTAGCTTTAAAATGACGGGATTTACCATGCTCTGGAGAAAATGAACAAACTTCTCATATGTGCACATGTAGCACGCCCTTACTTTCTGGGCGTGCTAGATTTCTAGCTTTCTAGCTTTTTGGGGCTGTGCACAGTAAGATGGGTTCCTGTATGAACTTTATGTACAGTATATATATATATATATATATATATATATATAAAGTTCATACAGTTCATACAAGTTCATATAAATATATATATATATATATATATATATATATATATATATATATATATATATATATATATATATATATATATATATATTGTCATTCATAGCTACCCTTATTCCTCGACATCATTATCGTAAAAATCCCTTACCAACCCTCGTTGCCGACCACCTTTATCGGTTGTGATATTTATTCCTTAGGAAAAGGTGGCCCCAAACTAGCGTTCAAGGTCATAGGACTCGGCTCAAACGCAGGACCGCGGAACTGAGCATCCCGAGATTTTGGGGCCTCGACTCGGACCCGTGCGCCATAAAGCGGATGAAGTTAGATTCGGAACCAGGTACACACCTCGCGCAGTCACTACGATTTGTCACCTGCTGTGGCAAACCTATGATCTCTAGGACCAATCTGGTTTCTAGTGGACAATGGCAAAATCTGGATAACACATAACTCACTGCCGCAGCCAAAATTTCACCTTCCATTCAGTTCGCCATAGCTCGTGATAGCTTACTCTAGTTCGCGAGCATGCGCGTTTTGCAGCATTCCATGATTTCTTCGACAACCGGGATTTCACTAAGAATTGATGAGGTGCTGTCGGTGTACGGTTAACGGCAATCGTCGACGTGGTCGCCTACAAATCTAAAAACGAAATTATGTTACAAACTTGAAATTCTTGCAATATGAACGGCATTAAAACGGTGCATTATCACGGCCATCATCAAGACATTTCGATGCTTTTCTTACAATTTTTAACGCGTCGCATCAAAAGGACCCGCGTAACGCCGGATCCTATAAATGCACCATGTCTGCACTTGCCAGCAAACCATGGGAACTAAGACTAAATGCAATACAAAAAGAGTCATTCGATTCACATATTCACATACAATTATTAATCATTATATACAATGATTCACACACGAAGCAATTTGGAACCACACCACCACAGGCGTGTCTGTCTAAATGTGTTCGAGTTTCACTACGTCAGATGAAACATCAAATGTTACGCTCAACATACCTGAAACAACGAAAATGAGTGCCAGGCTATGATTTAAGTCTATAAATATCTCTCCGACATATCAAGGTATTACCTCGGCACACTGTTCGACTTATTTTACAGTTGACCTAAATTTCGGCATCTGATATCTGCTGGCTGTTTGCTGTGTCCCAGTTCATCCAATTAGCATTGTGCTAATTCTACGCCCACATTGTTTATAAAAGCAAAAACAAACAACTATGTGTTAGCGAAAGGCAGCTGATTAGGGTGTGCGTCGCCGCTGTTGCAACTGTCGTCAGTTTCCCAGCGAGTTCTATGAATCTCTGGTCGTGCTGCGCTTAAGCTTCTTTGGTTCAGTTGTATCCAGTGGCGCAGCCGAAAGGAAAAAGCTGGGGTCCAGTCCACCCGCATGTGTCATTTCAGCACCGTAGGTAGCTCCTGACTGAGTTAAAGATTGGCCCATTACGGTGAGGTCTACCACCATTTAGCAGATGCGTCGTAAGTCCAAATCGTGATCTTCGGTTTTGTTATGAGTTCTGGCATTGCTACGTCCCCTTCCCCCAAGAAAATCCTGGCTGCGATCATGATTGTGTCCGACGAGTTGTGCTTCAGTCAATGGCTTTCTCCTGTGCCGGTTACATAAAACGCTTTTTTTTGCTAATGCCCCAGCAATGTCATACAAAGCACGGAATGACAACGGTGATAGGCTTTACTCGCTGTACCTTCACAGAGATGGGCGTGTCTGAGTATGTTACATGGACATGTTACATAACCCATGGGCTCCAAACGCATCTGATTATATCCCGTTAGGCTCTGATATCTCTGACATGGCCGCATCACCCGCTGTCTCCTCCGCCGTCTCATGCCACGCGTAGCGCTACTGTCCGTTGATGCCCTGCTAGGTCTTTCTATAGCACGAATGGCTTTCCACACACTTGATCTTAGCATAGCACCTATGGTGCAGGGGTGTAGTCTCCTGCTCAGCTGTGTGGGCTTCATCCCTCCCCCAACCTAGCGTCCAACTTTAAAAACCCCTTCCAACCCCTTCCAACTTTAAAAAGAAAATGGACCAATTTTGGGGGAACCCACGTATTGGCTTGGGGGGCAGGCAACGTCATGTTTTTACTGTTCAGACCCCTTCCGCCAACTCCTTTTGCGAAACCACAGCCCTGCTATCGAGTGTACTGTTTCAAAATTACACCTAGCCCCAAAAGTGGGGAGGGGGGGGGGGGGTCGAAACAACTCCATAATGCTTCGTGAGGATACCTCCCCTGCACGTTGTGCAATCGAGCTCAACTTTTCAGCAGCCTGTCGGCATCTACTGCGGGTGTTTTTAAATAGAAAACGTGCCCCTTGCTTTTCTTGTTCCGGAACAGCGACGGGTTTTTAGGAACACTGCACGGTGATCTGCGGCCTGAGCCGACATTGCTACATTAAGGGAGCTATACCATAAACGCGTGTTCAAAATGCCTCAAACCAGACACCACTTAACTCAGCATTAAACAAGGAACGCGCCTGTATCAATGTTGTGCCGCTTGGAAGCACGGCCCCCTATGCACGAGGTTGTGAAGCTGAAAACATGAGATTTTCGAAAAAAATGTGGCCTGACGTATCGGGGGCAATTATTGATCTAACAACATAAAAGGTACTACCAATCGCGATATTTTGTTGAGGCTATCCACTCGTGTTTTCAGCTAAGCCATATCCATAGTTCGGCCAAGGCAGGGGATCGGGGCGAGGGTAATCACTTTAAGCGCTGAACTATTGAAGAAGGCGAAGATGCGACAACAGTGAGTATTTTTGCAGCGATACTGGTCTGCGACCGTCACGAAACTTTGGGTCCACCGTTTTTACCAAGATTCAACACGATACCTAGGGAGGCCCCCGTCATAGAATTTTGCGTTCCCAGTGAAGACGTACCACGAGCTCGAAACCCTTCGGACACCGGGAAGCCTGCCGAATGGTGATGAAATGAAAGAATGAATCTTAAAGATGAGATGAGCCAGTTTTGTACAAATGTGCACCAGGAAAGGAGAACTGCAGGCAAAGGTGAACTGTAGGAGAACTGTAGAAGTAGGTGACAAGGTTACTTACTTCTAGCCAAGAATTGAAATGTCCTGCCTTTCTCCTATTTTGAGAAAGAAACCAAACATTGGGAACATGCGCCGATCGCCGATCGCAACCCCCTCAGCCCACACTGCAGACGCCTTTGGCGGGACAAGCATATACAGACATCTGCCATCCGGCTATGTGATATGTAACATGCTAGGACCACATGGAACCCATCTAAGCCGACGGGCTGTGGATGCATGCTGCATGTAACCTTCAACACAAAGGACCATCGCAGAGGTCGACCACGTTCGCGACTTGCAGCCATCTGATAACTGGGCTTCGGTATAGCCTTGGGTTGTGGGCCAGCGGTCTGGCGCCAAATTCCAGCTCTGCAGCTGTCTACCCCAACGGCCCCGAGTCCCACGTGGCGGCGACCTCATTGGAAACTCAGCACGCGGCCCCCACTCCCCTCCGCGCGCAACAGAAAGCCGGGCTCGAAAAGCCCGCCAAACGGGCCGGCCTGGGCGTCGGCTGATTGGCCCGCCGGATGCAGCTGCGCCGCGCGGGCCAATCAGCGGGCAGCGGCCGCGCGCCGGGTTTCTGTCTGGCGGTTGCGGCGCGTGCCTCAGAAGCCGCCACTGGACTCGACGGTCGGGGCGCGTGGTTGGCGCGCGTGAGCGAGGTCGCTGTGTGAGTGGGTGAGTGATCGGTTCTGACTGGGGCGAACGGAGTGCCATGGATGGAATTATGGGCGTTGGCAAGATTGAAAATTACAGGAGCGGCCGGTACGGAGGTGCGCCCAGAGATGGCGGCAACACAAGCAAGGACTGTGGTGTGGTGGACCCGTGCTCACCGGCCTACCGGCAATATCTTCGCGCCGTGCGCTGGCTAGCCGAGCAGTGCGATCAATATTACGACGATCCGCAGGCCTTCGGTATCGACACATTCATCAAGGACATCATGGTCGGAAAGATCGCGCCCAACAACGACGACTACGTGGTACTGGCCCTTCCCGGTCAGGAGCGGCACCCAATGGGCCCTGGTGTCTGGCTTGATGAGAAGACGGCGCGCCTCATCCGCGACGTCCAGCGTGACTACGACTCACAAAACGACGGCAAGTATTTCGGCCAGTTCAAAACTCTGTGTGGCCGAAACCTGGACCAAGTCCGTAACCAGTTCTACATCGACTGCTTCTCAGAGACCGTTCACCTACAGACATCTCGCATGAAGGCCAACACCACCGAATGCGTGCCGGTGCCGTCGTCAGAACACGTCGCGGAAATTGTGGGCAAAAAAGGTGAGTTTCATGCCGGCACCACGTGGTTGCGCCGGCCGCCTCTTCGCGCCGTTTTGTTTGAGCCGTTGTTCCCGGCTGCGCGCCGCTCCCGAGCGCTGCGGCGCGGCGGCACGGATGCCTGCAGGCGGCTGTCCAAGATGGCGGCGCCCTGTGTCCCACTAGCCATGCGAGCCGGGCGGCGGACAAAGGCGCCGGCGAAGAGCGGGTGCCTCTGCCGCGCCACGTGGGACGGGCGCGCGGTGGTCAGGGCGACCCAAATACACGCAGTGGGCTCACTCGTGATGCGCGATGAGCTTGCCAGCCGGGACCGTAGCGGCGGGCCTGATTTCTAGAACTTTCCTACACGAGTTGTATGGAAATTAATTTGGACATCGCCGGCAAGCACTGGGTTTATCATGCAATCCAGTGATATTTGTTTGGCAACTTCTGTCCAGTGGTAGAACTGGAGCAGTGTCCGTGGCGAGCTGCGTAGACGGACGATATGCCTTGGAATATATACCGTTAATGTTTGCATTAAGTGGAGATGTAAAGCGAGGCCGTTATGTAAATATTTCGCAGCTGGCTCCGAATCCGTGTCGCGCTTTGCATTTTGAACGACTCGGATCACGTCTGCTGAATATCATTAGCTGCAACTGACTGCCTTGACAAGGATTTGGGTGACGCTATTCGCTCAGCGATTTTCTGCCCGATATTTTCAATTCTAGCCGAGAGTGTGAGCCGAGCAATTGGTAGCATGAAGATGCCATAACTTTGTTACTGTCAGCTGGAATTCACGCCCTAGCCATAACATTTCATTTTTAACCCGACACTTCTGGACTGGCGGTGACGTCTGGCGTTGCTATGGCCAGTGCGGGCCGGCGGCGCGCCGACATGAGCCCTTATCGCGTGAAGACAAACAGTCCGCTTGCGTCTCCGAGATAAGATCGTCTCCAGCGGGCGCCGGGTACCCGGTCCGCGTCAAGTGGACACCGCGCGCCGCCCGGACTTGCATTTGCACAGCAAGGGTTGGCGCTCCGGTGACGTCTTCCGGACACCATCTTCCAGAACTGGAAAAGAATATAGTATTAAATCTGCTTTCTAATGTCATCTGATGAATGTCAACGGAAATGTCGCCATTTGCACTTGCTGCCGTAGCGTTACGATTCGGAGTGTGCTGGCCTCCCACGGCTCCCGCGTTAGAAGAACGCTAAAGATCAAATGCAGGGTTGTCGGCAGGTTCCCAGACTCTGCAACCATGTGGTTGTTGCGTGGGTACCCAGGGGGAGGGGGAGGGGGGGGGGGGGGCAGGGCCAGTGCACTTCTTCCTAGATCACGCTTTGTCTCGCGTCATGCTCAACTGTGGGGGTGAGCCACCATGTTTAGTGGAGACGTACTAAAAAAAAAAAACTTTTCATTACTTACGTTTGATAGAAGCCTTCAAAGCGGGGATAACTTCGGTATTACGTGTTCATAGAGAGCAACAACTTTTTTACTCTATTAATGCCCATTATATTTCGCGGTGTTCCATTGTCCACTTCACGCGATCTGTGGTCTGTTATCGTCGGGCGATCCCGTATCTGTAGCGTGTTTACGGGTCTGGCCGGCCGGCAGGCGTACCGGTTTCCTGTGCTCCCCTGACCCCGCGCGCCTTTTGATAAGGGTCCCCACCGCGTGGACGAGACTTCGCGCGCTCGCATCGTGGCGCGGCGGCCGGCGGCCCACGTGGTGGCGCCGTGTGAGCGCGCGTTGCCCCCCCCCCCCGCGCTAGCGCCGCCTGGCGGGCGCCCTTGAACCCCGCGCGGCCGGCGGCGGACCGCATCTGCGGCCGGGCGCCGCCGGGCTCCGGCACAGTGGACAGCTGCGCGCCGCACCGGGGGGGGGGGGGGGGGGGACAGTCGGCGGCGCGGCCGCCGGCGGACACCGGAAGCAGCACGGCTAATCTGGCGCAGCGCCGCCTCATGGCCGCCGATCGCCGCCGGCGCCGCGATGCAGAACTGGTTTGGCGCCGATTTTCCTTTATGGGCCACATGGGCGCTTTGATAGCGACATAACCGGGCGAAGGATGCGGCCTCGCGCCTGTTGCGAGGTTGGGCGCGGGCGATGTGGTGCGGCGGGCGGCCGACGCCGTGCGAAGCCCGCTGGCGAAGTTCAAGGGCGGGCTACGCTTGACGTGCTGACCGCCGTGGGATGCTCGCTTGGTCGTGGTCTGCTGCACGAGTTCTGGCTCGGCCAGGTCTGATTGCGCCCTTGGCCGTTGAGCTCGCGCCGGTTCGTGACTTGGCGTACATTCTCACTTAATGTATGGGGCATGCCATGTAAGGTTTTACCGAACGTGTACCTGCTCAACACGGACATGAAACGTGGTTTCCCTGTGGAACGTTGTCGAATCCTTTATTCGTTGATTTCTTTACTGTACCTTCTTCATCGCCTCATTTCCTCGACACAATCTGGCGCAAACAAGAACTGCCGATCCAGGCGCCGGAAGAAGACAAATACGTGCATGCCTCGCGCTCATGTGCCGGAACTTCGCACCCTGTCGGTCCCCATCCTTTTATGGGCGCACGGACCAGTGACCATGGGAGCGCGGCCAAATGTGGCGCTCTCCGCCGCACGCGGCGGGCCGCGACGTGCACACGTGGTTAAGACCCCCGGACCCCCGACCCCCGGACGCAAGGTGCGGGTCGCGTCCTGGGGCTCCATTTGGACATTTTGGCTCGCGTTAAGACGGAATAGTGTATGTAATCCCGTTTAGGCTGCCGTTGTGTGATGGCGCCTATGTCGCGGCAGCACCCGGCAGTCATGATCATGGCCACTTCATATATCATATCTGGATCTTCATCGTATATCTTCATTAATTATATACCAGTGTCTTCAGTACGTGTTTTCCGGCTTGGCACAGCCGAATTTGTGTTTTTTGTGGGATGCGTGTAAACGGGTTCGTATAGCCCGTCACAACCATGTTTCACTCTGGCCCGTGTTTCCTGGTCTTGTGAAGTGGCAAAACGGACGTTGCGCACACCAAGTGCGTCAGTGCGGCGCGAATTGGAACGATGACGGCTAACTAGAACCCTGCTCACGTCGAACAGTATGCTCGTAGACAGGGTGTTGCCTGCAAGAGATGTACGGGGTTGAGTCTGAGTGATCCAGCAGAATCCATTCACCATGTTCATCCCAGTCCACGTGTCAACTCAGACACAAAATGACGAGCGGACCATGTGTATGAGAGCACATTTACAACTTACGCGACATAGCAATGCAGTAATTTCCGATTCATTCTACCGGCTAATTTTTAAATTGAATCCGGCGTTGATTGGGCCTTCCGAATCCGATTCATTCCAAGCCAAATCCAGGCGAGCCCACGTATGTATCCCAAACTTACGAAGTTATCCGATAGGTCAGGAACTTCTGTCTGCCATAGCCAGGCAAAATGCAGCGTTCAGTACGAAGTTCGTGATCTTTCGTGATCTTGGGCGACGTCTGGACGGGCGGTAGAATTTGTGTACCGTACACATAGCTGTGTTCCGGGCCAGGCGCAGTTTTGGCCACCGTGTAACAGTGACGTTTTCTTTTAGGTGGCAAGATCAAGAACATTCGGGCTGAAACCAACACGTACATCAAGACTCCCAAGCGGGATGAAGAGCCGGTGTTCGTCATCACAGGTCAGTGCCGGCGGGCGGACGCGCGGCGTTATTTCTGTGGTTGCATATTGCTGGGGCGTTGACAGCGTTTGTGCTCCGCGCCCATTCTACACATGTGCGGACCTTTGGTAGCGCCTTGGACATTGATTGACAGATACTCGGTCGTCTTTGCATGCTATTCTATGCTCCGGAGTATAATTGGTATGATGCTGCATAGTCGTTAAATACCACGATGTGATGAGCGGCTGGCTGGAAAGGATGCCGCTGATTTCGTTAGCAGTCAAGCACACAAGCATGTTGCACCATCACGCCCAGTGATGTGTTACGTTGCGTGCTGAAACCCTGGATGGGTGCTGTAAGGTTTTCATTGTTGCCAGCTGTCTGGAATGTGTTCGTATTGTGATGTAGAAAATTTTTCGACTAGCCTTTGATAGACTCATCGTAACAGAGAATGAGTTCGACACTTGCGCGCCGCGCGTGCGATGTACCGTGATAGAGAAGCTCAAATTTCAGGAGAGCAAAGCTTCACGATGATTTGTGGATACACACTTTTTTGCCGTAGACACGCGCACAATTTTCACGCCTTTCTGTTTTGATGTGGGCACGTCTAAGGCCTTCGATATGAATGGGACGACAATTCTGTTAGTCTTTTCATGGTCCGTTCTAATGACATCTACTTTGAAACAGTATCGGGTTTTTTCGTCACACATCCGCTGATTCATCACATAGTTGCCGGCGCCATGGTGTAGCGATATGTGGCCTGACAGGGATGCGGATTGTTGTTTTTTTGGAAGTCCAAAAGTTTCAAAGCTCAGTCTGGAAATTGAGCGGACAGGGGCAACATCGAATATTTTTTAAACAGCCAAATTCTGTCGTCACCAATGGGTCCATCTTTACTTATTGATACTGATGGTTCCCGAAATAATTTGACTCTGGAACATCAACAAGTTTTTAGTGAAACACACAAGGCCATATTACTTTTTGAAACATGTGATAGAAACCCTCATCGCGCTCACCGTCACTTATTCCGTAGGCTATGGGACTTGAGAATTGCGATGGAACGTGCGCACCGTTTTCTTCAATGTTTGCGGTTCGCACCAGTTTTGGATCCCGGTTTCACGCGTTCCGCCTTTTCTGACAAAAGATCAATTTTGTCAATTGAAAATTTTTGGGAATCTGATTTTTTTGGGCACCGCATGGACAGCGGATCATTCTTTAACTTTGGACGAAAACTTCTAGAAAACGATGCGTTTGGCCCCGGTCTCGTGCAATCATCGCGTGGGGCGGACTCCGATCTGAGGAGTCACATTTGCCGACAATGGAAGATTATTTACCACCGGTGGCGCACCGTCGAGATTTGCGTTATTGGCTTTGTCTGGCTTGGTAGAGATCCCGTTAAGACCAATAAGCTAGCATGCCGTAGCCAATCAGGGAAGCAGACAGCAACATCGCGCCTTCGTTCGACCGACTCGAAAGCTGGGTTGTACCCGTGCAACGAACTTTCTCAGCAAGTATGTTCGTGAAGTCGCTCAGTGAACGTTATGAGACCACGGGATGCGTTTTACTTATGACGTCTGCGAAGCTAGGGCTCGACACTGATGAAGCGTCAGTACTGTCATGCTTTCGTCATCCGTGGTAAAGGCTCATTTTTGCCGCGTTAAGTCCCATATTCACGCTCTTCTCGTGGAATGTTGGAATAAGCACTCATATTTGCAGTGACCATGAAAACGTCAGGCATGACACTTGTCCGGATACAATGTATTACGGAAACAAATATTGTGGTCAGTTGACATACGGCTTATCCCAATTAGAGCCGTCTTTTATCTTGTAAGCCATCGTCGATGATCGCATGCCAGTGACCGCCACATTTTGGCCGCGGATCGGTTGCTATGACCCCCCCCCTCCCCGCCCCTCCGCCGCGCCCCTTCTGAAGAAGGTGCGGTGAAATCTTCTGCATGGAGACTGGGGACAGGATTAGACCACTTCGTTTGTGTCAAAAGCCTGGCGAATTGCCTTGCGCTGATGCTTCATCGCATTACTGAGCCCTCCCCCAGAGAGAGATTTCGCCGGCAGAGTTCCGAAATGTTCATGACCTTCAGATATCCCAAAACGGTTGGGGAATGCCAGTGTTGCTATACTAGCTCATCCGTATCAAGTCTGCCGCACCTTTCGAATTATGTTCCCACGTGTGATCCACGCCCATCCCCTGGACCCCCGCGCTTGGTGAGATCGCACTGGCCTCGAAGCCGCAGGGTCACAGTCTGGTGCGTTGCAGGTCGGAAGGAGGACGTCGGTTTCGCCAAGCAGAAGATCCTGGCGGCGGCGGAGCACTTCAGCCAGCTGCGCGAGGCGCGTCGCCAGAACCCGGGCGGCCCGGCACCGGCGCTGGGCCCACCCAAGCGCGAGGGTGACGTCACGGCGTCGGTGGAGGTGCCGTACGAGTTCGTGGGCCTGGTGGTGGGCCAGAAGGGCGCCACCATCAAGCGCATCCAGCAGGACACGAGCACATACATCACGACGCCGTCGCGCCGTCACCGGCCCATCTTCGAGGTGGTGGGTCAGCCGGCCGACGTGGAGCAGGCGCGCCAGGCCATCCAGATGCACATCAGCAGCCGGGTGGAGAAGTTCCGAGGAGAGGCGATGTCCTCCGGCAGCGGCGACGGCTCCGGGTCCGGGCCTTTCAACGCTTCCTCCTCCAGCCTGGCGTTCCTCGGCCTGGACGACTCAGCGTTCGGGGCGGGTGACGGCGGCGCCGGCGGCCTCTTCAGCTCACTCAACAACGTCCACCTGGGCGGCACGTGGACGGGCGTGCCGCCACCGTCGCTGCCGCCGCCGCCGCCACCGCCGTCCCGGTTCGTGCCGCCTCCCCCGCCGCCGCCGCCGCCCTGCCCGCTCGGCGGCGGCGGCGGTGGTCGGCTCAGCGCCTTCCGCAACCTGCCGCTGGACGGCCTGGACGGACTGAGCGCGTCACTGCGCGAGCTGGCGCTGCAGCAGCAGCCGACCGGCTGGCTGCCGGACGGCCGCGGCCGCACGGCTAGCCTGCCGGCGGCCGACCCGGCCGACGCGCCGGCCAGCCGCCGCGGCTCGGACGAGTCGCACGCCATCGGCCTGCTGTTCAGCCGGCCGGGTCCGCTCTCGTGGGACGGCGCGCTGCAGGCGGCGCGCCCCTCCAAGGGCTCCAGCGAGACGCTCAACTCGGACTCGGGCGTCGAGACGACCACGCCGCCACCGCTCGACGGCCTCCTGTACGGACCGATCGGTTCGAAGCGCACCAGCCCGACGGCCGCGCTGGCGGCGGCCGACTGAGCGGCCGCCGCGCCGCCACCGCCACCCCTTCATAAAGACACGGCAGCGGCCGTCGCCCTGGCCCGGCCTCACTGTGTAGACATTTTTACATTTTACGTGTAGACTCATTTGTAGAATACTCACCGTCGGCTCTGCCAGCCCCCGCCCGTCCGCCCGGCCCCGTCCCCGTCCCCGAGGGCGCGCCGCCGCTCGTCCCGCGCCCAGACACGCGACACCGGCGCCGCTAGGCCCGCCGGCGCCGGCGAAGCCGCGGCCGACGCCGACGTCGATATTTCTGCCGCTGTCGGCTGGCCGGCCGCCAGCGCTCCCCCTCCATCGACCGGGCTCAGCGGCGGCGGAGGGCCTCTGCACTGCGTCCGGCCGCCGCCGCCGCCCTTCGGCTGACGCCGCTCTGTCCCCTCGCGCTCTGTCTCCACCAGTGCTCAATCACACCACATATCGCGCCTCCGGCTCCGACCGCCACTAGCTCGCCTGCCGATAGCAATAAGGCTGCCGGGTCCGGCCCCCCGTCCCCCCAACCCCATCCCATGGGCGCGCGGGGACGCACGCCGTCTCGGGGTTGGCAGAGCGAAGCTAGTTTTGTACTTGCACGTTCGAACTTGACGTTTGTTTCAATCAGGAATGCATGCTGTTAAATATACGAGTACCTATACATCATATAAAGTAGGTCACAAAAGTATTTTATTTTCTTACAGAAACCCGTATGTGTTGTGGTTGTGCATGTTGTGACATGTTATTTTCCTACAAGTTAGCTGTCAACACGCATTAGGTGTTGCTTCTTATGTGATTGTGCCCCCACACGTCTTGGTTACCAGCCTAGTACGTAGTCTTCCAAAATAGGTGTGGTACCATTTCTTTGTCCATTTGAATGTCCACCGGCTAGCGTTATGCTTACACAATAGAACCCACCAAGTAAGTTGAATTCGCGAAGGGTGAGGTGGTCTTGTACGTCTTCACTACAACCTCGGTCATTTTGTACTTTTTTACATGATGTGCGGCGGTGACGTTATTTTGCGACACATTGTATGACTTATCAGGCAATAAGTGGGCCTTCCTAGCTTCCTGCCCGGACATGCAAACGCTTTCGGCACCGGCCTAAAATCAAACGCCGCCTGGCGCGGCAGAGTCGGGCTGCCGGGAGCGCGTCTTTCTGAGCCAGCCGGCTGCCGGGCTCGCTCGTGCCCCTCCCCGCGCAGGGGGAGGGGCGGCCGGCCGCTGTTGCCAGGCCAGCGGCGCCGGGTTCCGCTCGGTGCGCTGACAAATTCACAGGGCCAATCACAATACTGAGTGTTACAGTATTTTACTACCGTAAAATGTAAATATTTAATGGGAGTTACTCTTGTGAATGTTAACGTGAGTGTTAGAGCGAGCTCAGCGTGGGCGTTGGTGGCCCGACATCTTTGAAAAATTTAACTATCTGTTCGTATATTCTAATAAACACTGGGGAATATGCAGTACCTGAAGCGCAACTTATAATTGTTAATCTGTTACCCAGTCCGTTTATGATGTCAAATATCTTAGCCCAGTGATAGACTGCATATTTCTGTACATTCCAGATTATATGATGAACAAATTTATCGAACAAATAGAAACGTGCATTCAGTCTTCAAGATTTTTTCGATATCGGGCGCTGTATGTTCTGTGAGTTGCTAGCTAGCGTGGGTGCATCCCCGGGCCACCAACGCCCGGGTGCTGTGTTGTGAGAGGTTTTGTTGTGTACAAATAGATTACTTCTCGATGTTAAAGGTCTTGCTCATTTAGAATGTGGGGCTCGCCGCCGCCTGAGAACGAGCCCTAAATATATTTTTATTACTGATGAGGAATGTATTTTGGTGCCTCTGCTTGACAGATTAGCCGTGTGTACTTATTAATATGCGTTGATTTTTCACGTTTGCTATTGTTTTATTTTCGAGACTGTGCATTGACTTCGGACAGTTTCTCTCCCTGTCTCGGCCCAAGAGCCAGGCGCGTTGCCGGGCGCCACCCGTGCGTACGGCCCTTAGCTCTGGATATAGCCATACCAGGTCGACGTAGTATGTGGTCTCAGAATAAACGCCGATATGCATCGAGTTGTTTCCGTGGTGACCGCGACGGCGTGGAGTATTGAACCAGTGAAGTCCACGAAGAGTTGCTGCACACGGCAGCGGTCCGAGGACGCTGCGCCGACCGTCCACCAAAGGCTCTGCACGATGACACCAATTCACTCGGCTACACCACGCCGATGACCCATGGGCGCCATGCGCGGCGTGGTTAGCAGTTCACACGGCCGTGCATCGCGCCGGACAGCGCCAGAGGGCACACCAGGCACACGGCTGAACAGCACCTCAGTTGATAGCCTACAGGGCACTAGACGCCATGGTGCTGGCCCACCGAAAGCTGTAAAATGCGCGAGCAGTGCTGGGGTAGTATCTAACAAGGTAAGGAGGAACTTCAGGATTGGTACAGGACTGCACCGCACCGGCGGTCTGCAGAAGACCACGTCAGGGGTCCGCGGAGGACTGCACCGCACCAGCGGTCTGCAGAAGACCACGTCAGGGGTCCGCGGAGGACTGCACCGCACCAGCGGTCTGCAGAAGACCACGTCAGGGGTCCGCGGAGGACTGCACCGCACCAGCGGTCTGCAGAAGACCACGTCAGGGGTCCGCGGAGGACTGCACCGCACCGGCGGTCTGCAGAAGACCACGTCAGGGGTCCGCGGAGGACTGCACCGCACCAGCGGTCTGCAGAAGACTACACCACATCAGAGGTCCGCGGAGGACTGCACCGCGACAGCGGTTCGCAGAAGACGGCACCACATCAGGTGTCCTAGGAGGACTGCACCGCACCAGCAGTTCGCGGAGGGCTGTACATCACATCAGAGCTCTGCAGTGAACTGCACCGCATCAGTAGGCCACAGAGGGCTGTACACCACATCAGGGGTCCGCGGTGAACTGCACCGCATCAATAGGCTACAAAGGGCTGTACACCACATCAGGCAGGCGTCCGCAGTGAACTGCACAGCATCAGTAGGCCACAGAGGGTTATACACCACATCAGAGGTCCGCAGTGAACTGCACAGCATCAGTAGGCCACGGAGGGCTGTACACCACATCGGGCGTCCGCAGTGAACTGCACCGCATCAGTAGGCCACAAAGGGTTGTACACCACATCAAGCGTCCGCAGTGAACTGCGCCGCATCAGTAGGCCACAGAGGACCGTACACTGCGTCAGCAGTTCGCAGATCGCCACACTACGCCAGCACTCTGGAGGGTGCTATACTAGGGCAGTAGGCCACAAAGGGTTCTGCACCGTGCCAGCAGTCCACGGCAGGGGCGGTGCTGCAGGTAGGTCGACGGGGGGGTGACCTACCTGCAGCACCTAGGGGGGGGGCGGGGGGGGGGGGCAAATGCCCCCATGCCAGCAGGCAAGGAAGGCAGAAGTATGTTTTTGCCCTTTGGAATTTTAAGGTGTCCCCTCTTTCTAAACCAAAGACTAGTTACCTATAGATTGCCAAAATTCGGATCAAGGAGGATCAAAATTGAGTTGGAGTGTCAACTCTGGATCACAAGATGCTTTCCTGGGTCGAAAGGCCTGTTTTCTGGATCATGAGGAAATTTTGATGATAGACGTAGCCCATGCCCTAGATCAGAAAACCCAATGCTGTGCTGAGGAGACCCCGTTACTGACTCGGGAGGCCCCGTTACGCACCAAGAACCCTCTGTTTTAGTTAAAGAGGAAGCCTTCATGTTCAGGTGGCTCCATTTCTGGAACGGTGTCCCTTTCACGTATCAGATGGCTGCGATTTTCAGATAGCTGCTGTTTTGGGATATCGAGGCCCGTTGCCAAATTTGGAGGCCTCTCTTCGTGAATCTGAAGAGTGCTGGTCTGGTTTAGGAGGCCTCTATGCACCAAAAGTCTCTTGTCTGATAGAGGGAGCTTTTTTAATTGGAGAGGCCTTTTGAGCTCTTCTTTGGACGCTCAGGCTTTGTGATGTGAGGCCCTTGCGAGCTAGAGGTTTATATTCGCTAGAAATGCCCCATTTTTCTCAATACCTTTTTGGTGTTTCTTCTAGAAGAGATCAATCATTGTCAGTGAGGCTCTCGAGGAAAAAAGATCTTACGAAATGTATGGAGAACGTTACACCCCTGGGCCGCCTGGTTGTATTTCTAAGTAGAGCACTACCTCATGCTCACCCGCGTCGCTGTTTGTGCCGGCAATAGGGACCAATGCGTCGACCGAGATTTCTGTGACGTTTCCCCAGTAACACGCGTATTCGTATTACTAAGCGCACAAAGTGCAGATACTAAGCATGCCATTCCGACAGCTTCTGTCCCGGTTTGGTTTGCTAAGAGACGTTCCCGTCTCGGCTCTCTTTGCATGCAGGTGGCCTCCGTCTCGGCTCTGTTTGTCGTCGCACGGGTTCCGTACCGGGCTGGTTGTCGTCATACGGTTTCCATGTCGGCCCTGTTTGCCGTCATACGGTTTCCATGTCAGCCCGGTTTCCCGTCATACGGTCTCCATGTCGGCCCGGTTTGCCGTCATACAGGTTTCCATATCGGCCCTGTATGCCGTCATACGGTTTCCGTGTCAGCCCGGTTTGCCGTCATGCGGTTTCCATGTCAGCCCGGTTTGCCGTCATACGGTCTCCATGTCGACCGGTTTGCCGTCATACGGTTTCCATATTGGCCCTGTATGCCGTCATACGGTT